AGGAAAGAAAATAGTCTTCCTTCTTTCTTGGGCAATATTTTTTGCTTTAACTACAATTAACTTTTGCAAACAGACCGGAAGGACACAACTCTAACCACATTCTACTTCCTTCCCCTGTTGTCCAGTCTAGCTCCACAGTAGCCCTGGTAACCCAGGCTATTTGCCGGCTTCTAACAGTAGTTTCTCTCTAGGGTCTCACTATTTTGCTCTAAGCAGAATAACATTGAACAAAATAGGGGATGAGGCAGGGCGGGGAGGTGGCTGTATTGTTCACCATGTCAGCCTGTCTGTATAGCACTCAACTTAATAAGGCAGTGTGCCCCTTGTGTCCTGAAGCCTCTGTGCCTCTGTGGGTTGCACAGCCCCATCCTGTTCTCTGCCTACCCCCTTCACTCCATGATGCTAGTCACTCCATTATGCCGTTTACCATTTAACGCTGCCGTCTTCCTCTTGCACTGCCTTCTGCGCTAACACCTCCATTCCTGTTTATAACCGTGTATTTATTACTTCATGTATATACTGTAATATTTTGTAAGTTATTAATTTATATATCTAACATTGCCTGCCAACGGTGGTGTTGAATTTGTGTAGAAAACTCTGCCTAAGAGTTACGACTTTTTCTTGTTATGTTTTGTATTGTGTATTCTATAACCCAAACATTGCTTAAGAGAGACACAGGCCCCTCTGCACGGAACACAGGGACGGGCCTTTTGCTAAGAGGGCCTGCCCTCTCCCTGTCTGAGTTCTTAATACTGCACAGCCCCTTTATGAACAGGTTTTGCAAACAGGATTCTCATATTCGATACTAAAAGGTTTATACTGAGCTTTTATTTTGTATGGTTTGATAGGGGTAGGGGGTGATGGGATGTTGTTTTTACCCATGTTCTATCCAAGTCTGTGTACGGCATGAGTTGGGTTATAACCGGTTTCTACTATAATTGTGGCTTCGGTTCAAAAAGCAACACTACATTTGCTCACAGATGATTCTTCTAAGTATTCCCAAACTACTGACTTTGAAGAGCTAGCCTCCTGCCTGCCACTAAGCGACAATGTCATGTTCCAATTCATTCTGAAAGAAAATGATAAAACAATGTGAATTTTTATAATAAAATGTGAACTGATGTAGTAAATTATGCGAATGTGAAGCTTCTTCTGATAACACTTGTTAGGCCTCTTCCTGGTGTCAGTTTCAGTTTGTAAAATATGTTTCATGCTTCGGTTCAGCATTGTGACTCAGTAGTTTAAAAAATGGCACAAATGTGCATGATCAATGGGTTTGTATGTCTATAAACACTGCATTGTTTCAGGTGGACATTTTACTGTTTTCAAGTTTCTCACAATGTATGTTATAGTATTATTATTATTATTATTATTATTATTATATATTGTGCTCAAATGCATTCCTAAGAGACTTTTATATGAGGTGAATAAACAAAAGCATGATTAGATTAGACTGTAGGCCCAATTATTTTGTGGTTAGTTCTGATGTATTTTAAAGCAGATCTTGTTTCCCTCTCTTTTCTCCAATTGTAACCCACAAAGAAAATCAAACACTTTACCTGATCAACATCAAACTGGGGTTCTAGAATTTATTACCAAAGAATCCCACCGGTTCATTCAGCAACTGTTCATTCAGCTCAGAGGTACAGGCAGGGAGGTGGTGAAGAAAAGCACAAAAAAACACTTTGTTCACCTTGAACCAGCTTTGAGAATGTGATGTGTTGAGACTTACAGGACGTCCTCAGCTTGGCTGGGTGCTTCAGAAAAGTGAATCAGAAGCATAGCACGTTAGCTTAATGTAGTCAGAGAGACTCACTGATTCCCTCCACACAGGACAAATTTGAGGTCCAGAGTCATCTTAAACCACAATCCACAGAGCTGGGATGGACTTTTATGGTCTTCTCAATGATCCAAGGACTATCTTGCTAGTTGTATGGTTAAGCTTTTCTTTCTGGAAAGAATGAGCATAAGCAAAGCACTTAAATGTTTTGTTGAAATCTTAGAAGTCAGCATTTTAAAAATTTATACAGAGGTGTGTGTGTGTATGTGTGTGTGTGTGTGTGTGTGTGTTTTGGGGGGCATTTGCAAAAAAGAATCAGTGGGTCACACACTGTAATCCCAGCAATTTGGTAAGCTGAGGCAGGAAGAGCAAAAGTTCAAGGCTAGCCTGAGCAACTTTGGGAGACCCTGTCACAAAATAAAATTTAAAAAGGTTCTAGAGGTTGTAGCTCAGTGGTCGAGTACTCCTGAATAAATCCCTAGAACTGGGGAAAAAAAAAAAAAAAACAAGAATTGTCAATTGTTCTTACTATAAGTGGTAAGTAGAAGTAGTCTATTAACAAGTAGGAGGGTGTGCTCTGATAGAACTGCACTTTATAAGCTGAAATTACTGAATTTCTTTGCAAAGACAAGGGAAGAGAAGCCAGTGCTGCAGAGCCAGCATCCCCAGGACTTTCCATCACCCTTGACTTCTGGTGATATCTCACCATTGCAGAGTTTCCACTGATTTAGTGACCAAAGTAGATTGCTTATAAGTGCTACAGGCATGATTTTTTAATATGCCTATAGCTATAAATATTTGCAAGTCTTTTTTTTTCTATTGAGAAGGAGGTCCTTAACCCTTGCTACAAATGAGGATCACATGGAAAATATATATTTTTAAAAATACTGATGTTTGGGCACCATTCTCCTCCCAGATTTCTGATTGAAGTGATCTTGGTGGAGCCCAAAGCATCAGATTGTTGAAGTTTTTCCCAGGTCATTCCATTGTGTGATTGGGAGTAGAGAATCATAGTTTCAGAACCAAACCATGCTTGGAGCTACGGCTTTCACTCATGTCTTTAGACATTCATTTTGCACCTATCATGGCCTGCATGGCATAGTCAAGAAATTTTTTTATGGTAATTTTGGTTATGTTCTAGTTTTCTCTTTCCAATAGACTTTTCACCTAACTTCCAGGTATGATGGGACTACACGATGTTACTAGTTTCCTACATGGGAATCTCATAGGGTTTTGTTGTTGTTGTTGTTGTTGTGATGGTGGTGATGGTGGTGTATGTGTGTGTGTAGTGCGGGAAATGAACCCAGGGCCTTGTGCACACTCAACAAGCAATTCTACCACTGAGTTACATCCCCAGCATTATCCTACATGGAAATCTTAAGAAGAGTCAGGCCACGACTTGGGAATCCAACTGGTTACAAGCCAGCTGTAACCTGTGAGGGTAGGGACCATGCTGGGTGCTTTCTCCCCTCTCTACATTTCTAGCATCATACCTCATAGAGAGTTAATGCTCAAACATTAGTACCTGGGCTATGGTATGCATTAACAA